TCCTCAATGTGGTTTTAATTAGCTGTGGGACACCATGCGATCCGGTTTCTTCAGAGTGGCTGGTTCACTGCCAGTGTTGGGGAGCGGCTCGACTTCATGTAATTAAACCAGAAAATTTGCATCAAATTTTACATTTCTCTGGTGGCTGTTTGACTAAATTCATATTTGAATTATGGTAATATTTTAGGAACAGTTTTTTTGCCTTTTTTTTTGTAGTTTGTGACACTAGAACTATAGCCAATTAGTGTAGCAGAAACTGCTTGTTTTGATTGTTTTTGTTTGTTTTAGCAACATCTCAGCTATAAAGAAGCTAAAAAACAACATAATCTTGCAAATGTTGATTTCAAGTTATTTTATTAATAATAACTTCTTATTTCTTTCTTTGTTCATAAAAATTGTTTCTTTTTCACATCCCTCTAAAAAATGGCAAACTGGAATAAATGCACAATTTGTAATTTTGCCATTTAACCTGAAATGTTTCAGCTGCAGGAGGTGAATGATCTGCTCGTCTGTCAGTAGAAAATCTGATCAAATATGAAAGCAGTGAGATCAAAACAAAATGAAAGTTAACTCAGAACAAGCAAAGCTTAATACAAGCTTAACACAATCTAATTAATTGTTTATTTCAAAGGATTTGTGTTCTCTTTCAGTAAAAAAAAAAGCAACAGGTCCTATGCTCTTGCACTTTGATGCTAACAACTGTCACTGTTTCCCAAAACTGTAATGTAGAAGTGATTTTTTTTATTTTTTATTATAATTTCTTATGCTGGGGTCTTTGAAGTGTTATAATGCATGCTTCAATTTGCATCAAAAATTATTTTATGAATGCATCACAGCCCCCTATGTCAGGTGGTGTCTGAGGCTCCTCACCACTTTGAACTGGACACAAGCTTAACGTCCACACCACTGGGATACAGTCTATTAACTTCTGTCCATCTCACAGTGTTTTATTACTAATACTGCTTAACTTTTATGATGTTCAACAGACAGTGGGGCTAACATGACTGTCAAGTTAGACGAGATATTAACTCTTTACACTTAAGTAAATTTTTTTCACATTTTCAAGTAAGTTTAGGAACTTAGCTGATGAAATTTATGCTGCATTAAGATGTTAAATAAAATGCAACTACAAGTTACGAGAATAGTCACAACATTACAAGATTAAAGTCTTATGCAAATGAAGCCATAATATTCTGAGAATAAATATATAGTTATATAACTATAACTTGAATATCTTTCAGTAAACAGGTAAAAAGACACATTTTGTGTCAGTGTCCAATATATATGGACCTAACTGTATGTTTTTCATGAATTCAATTTATGTATTTAAAGAAATTCTACTGAAGTTTCAGACTAAAAAATTCAGATGCTTGGTTTACCCAAACGAGCGGACAGAATCTTTCTCTGAGACTTCAAATATCTGCAGCTGAACAGTGGAGAGTGAAGCTTTTGAAAGCTAAAACTTATTAGAATAATTGCACACCTCAATTTCAAAGAAAAGATGGAAGATTGCCTTGAGTCGAATAAAAAGAAAGATGAATTATGGATTTCATTGGCGAGTTTTGCTTCAGAAAAAAGCAAATAGTCATTTCCTCCTATTGCACTATGTTGAGTCAAACCGAGGCTCTTTTATTTTATTTTAATTAAAGCAAAGACAAAATCCACAAGTTGCTGCTGTGATACTCGGCGAATGCACTGCTGTACCTACTGAACACCCTGCAGGTATTCAAACATAGAATATAGATTTGCTCAATTGGCAATACAGTTTAAAAAAAAACACATCGAGCTATCTTTTAGCTCAACTTCTGTAGTCAAAAGGAGAAAAACTGATGCAAAAACAAAAGTTAAAACTGATTTGCATCTAAAAAATGTCTTGATTTGAAATATTTTTAGTTAAGTAGATACTTTAATTTTATACAACTTAAAAACCACAACAAATTATACGGTCAGTGATCTAAACAGTGCCTTTTCTATTCACTCAGTGTCAGAGCGCAGACCGTCAGCTTATTGTTCCTCTTGTGGGCGATCAAATGTCCGGCTGCTCATCGAGCTGCAGTGTAAAAAGGGCTGACCACTTTCTCTACTATAATTGGACAAATGCATCGATTACATCAATAGCAAATTACAACATTCATAATTGATCCCTAGACAACTGCAGTATAGGTCATCCTGCTGTTCAATAGCCATACCACAATATTCATGTTACACTGAACATATTCAGGAACTAATTAAATCTCAGAGGAGAGGATCAATGGAAGAAGAAGCACAGGAGAAGTATTGATTGCAGCCTACATCAGGGATCTCTTAAAGCAGGGAAACTGTGTGCCGTGATGCATTTTATTATTATTGTAAATGATCACTGGGATGATTTTTTTCCCATATAAATGTGCATTTAGGGTCGTCGTGTTCGGTTTGCATAGCTCGAACAAGAAAAATTCCTCCTGAATGAAAATAAATGTTCTCCTGCATCTATTGCATTCTCTCCACTACGCTTCTATTAACTATGAGATTACATTTATATCGAACTGGAACACGGCTGAATTTTCAAGATGTCCGCAGAGCACTTAAAGAAGGAAGGTGGCTATCAGCGCAAGATTTCACTTGACGAATCAATATCCAGGACAGCAGGAGAAACAATAACGTCTGCCTAAGGACAATATTGCTGGTGGAAACACTTGGTTGGTTGTTTTTAAGACTGGAGGAATATTTGCTCATATTGTGATGAAAACCTCTCCTTTCTTTCTTAGAGAAGTAAACAAAATAGCTTTGACTGACTTCTGAAGCCCACATTGTTCAGATTTATGATTAAAGCAGAGTTTACTTACTTTTTATTCTAACCTTTCGCTCAAAAACCAATAGGGATTATAAATTGTTCTGCCTTCACTGTATTTAGTAGCCGTTAGAGGGGCTGCGGTTTCTCGGTGGTCAGTCTTACGATCCAAAGGCTGTAGGTTCAAGCCTACGTTGGGTCAGGAAGGCCATCTGGTGCAAAAAAAAAACAATTGCCAAATCGTTCATGCGAGTTCGCTCGCTGCGGTGCCCCCGGCAAAAGGAAGCAGCTGAAAGAACATTTTCTAGCTGTTTGGGCATTAAAGTATGTTTAAAATGCATTTATTGAATCAGAGTGGATAGATTCCACTGAAGTCCAAAACAGACAGAAGCTGTGACTTTCTGAACATTTCTTCATTGAGAATTGATTTCACCACCTGATGTAAACAGTGGGTTTAGTAAAGCTATGGAACCTTAAAAAACTGGTAAGGTTCAATATAATAAAACATCTTTACCTTATATTTGCAAATACACATAATTCTACTCTGCAGAAATGATGCCACAGTGTTACTAAACTCACTGTAATTTACATTGTGAGCACATAAATTATTATTAGTTACTATAATTTGTAAATGAACAGTAGTGGGCAGCACTAATCTAAAAAATTGTTCTGCTAGCCCTAAAACACTAACTCAAATATTTAGGTCCCCTAATTCTAAAGCACTAATGCACTGAAAGTTTTAGCAAAAGCTAATTCTAAAGCACTAAAATAACCAAGTCAACTCATGAACATTCTTCAACAGACAACATGTGTCACATAATGCCATGTTGCTCTCTTAAGACTTCTCATTGACATTCCTCAGCCTTGTTTCATTTCATATATTGTCACCTGGTGGATAAATGTCACATATGAACAAAATGTGTTCACCTTCAGCTGTTAACATTAACATTGATCAAAAACATTTATAGACCTCGGTTAGTGCTACTAAATTTAGACCATAAATTTAGCAAGTGCTAATCCACTAATGCATTTAAAAATTAGTAAAAGCCCTAAAGCACTAATCAGGAAATTAGTTCCTCTATTAGTGCTTTAGTGCTTTAGGAGAACTGTGCCCACCACTGTAAATGAACATAGAACTGAGACAAAATTTGGACTTTACAATGTATAATACAGTTTATACGTACATACAGTTTATATAATACAGTATAATACATTTTTTAAACAGCTTCCCATCTTTGATATTTTTATAAGGTCAGCATAGCCTCATCAAATAGTTTGATCCAGCTGTAAAATCAGGTTTTATTAAAGACGAAGCTTGTTTTTCCTGGGCAGCAGAATTATTAAAAAGCCTCAGAGTTCATTTTGCACGCCCGTAAAAGGTTTCAATGCATTTAGAGCTGAAATATTGGTTGTGTCATTTCAAGCTGCACTTCTCCTCCATTCTGATCTCTGCTGATGACCTTTCTCTACTGTCCACGTCTCTGTCCTGGTGAAGAGAGTACTTGGCCACACTCCATCTCGTCCCAAATGGGGCCAGCTGAGGGAGGGAGGGGAGTGAATGGGTTTTTTCCCCTAGTCATTGGAAACAGCTGTCATGCTGTCGTCTGGCGCAGATCTGCAGCCAGAACCGGATGGGGGAGCCGGCGGCGAGAGGAGAGCTCCTGTTTTTTGTGTCCGCTCGCACTTAAAAACCCTCACCTGAGTGAATTAATCGAGCCATGCCTCCCAGCTACACTTAAAGCTCAGGGACATAAACAATCAGACAGCTTTGCTCCAGGAGGAAACACTCCTGGCATCGCCTGGGTGTTTTCAGAAAAACAGTTCCTCGTTAACAAAAAGACTTCCTTGTCCTTGGCTTTCATTTTATGCATATATTTAAAGGTTGCATTTGCAGGTAAGAGATCTGATATGAGGGGGGATAAAAGCCATTTTTTTCCTCATGTACCTGCAAAACCTGCTACAAAATCAAAATGTGGAGTAGAGAGGGAAGGTTTTCGTGCAAAACCTTTAGCATGTGTTTCATTAGCAGGACCTGACCTTATCTCCCAGGACCAAACCTTATCTCCCACAGATGCAGCCAGCATGCATAATAGAGGAGGCCCTTTGTGCCAAATGCTGTGGGGCAGAGCCCATACCCCTTTCCTGGTTCAGACCCCTCCTCTCAAGCCACAGCTGTACACACAAATGTACACACAGGAATAAAGAAAAGCACACACAAAAAGACACTCACCTCCCATGTGTTCATTACCACCTCTGTGTTGTTGGGTGATATTTTTCCCCCCTCCAGAGGCAGCATTTGCATGACTCAGAAGACGATGTCTGAGATTGTAACCAAGCTCCTGCACCAAAGAGACAATGAGGTTGTATTTTTACCAAGAACCCATAAAAGATAACAGAGAAATCTTTGTCAGATGTGGACATATATTAACATTATCAAAATGTAGAATTGTTTTAATCAAATGGAAACACAAGCACATCTGTACGTACGTGTCTGATGGCAATCTGTGCATGTAAAGTGTATTTGTGTGCAGAATACCAGATGAGCAACTGTGCAACAATCAGAAACGCGAGGAGGCGACCCACTCCATATTCATGAGTTTCCCCATATGCGACCCAACAAGGTAAACAAAGAATATTAAAGACAGACACTGAGGGACAGCCTAATGAACACCTACATATATTACTCACAGTGTAATGAATCGATTGAGTTTGCTCTTTCATCTAATATTTATAAAAGTAATATTCCTGAGACTTTCAACCTGAAATGTCTGGAGTTTACCAGCAGACCTCCTCAGCTCATTATGAGGAAAATATGAAGCTTCACATAATGAAATATATGAAATCCATCAATCACCTGCAGCTATGTGGAGCAAAAATCCCTTAAAAATATATAATTAGCACAAAACGTAAGGAAATTAGTGTTTGGTTGATCATTTTTTGGTTGTAACAATGCTTCTTAAATCTTACAGAGAACACCTGATTGGCAGCACCTGTGGGTACCAGAATCTCAAAGCAAGTGTCAATAACAACAGCAAAATAAGCTGTTTAGAACATTTGTCAAATATTTAATGTGCACAACCCACATACTCAGCTGTACTGCTCATCCCACAAACGCATGTTCCTTACAAATGTTGCACCATTTAAAAAGGGGAATTAACAGACTTTTCAATGGCATAAAATTTATTGCCAAGAAGCATCGTCACAACAAATATCTTACCAAACACACATTTCCTTACTTTTTGTGCTAATATATTCAGAAAGGCCAATGTTATGTTTAGAAAAAAATGTGAACAGATAAATGTGTTGGTACACATGGGAAAAAAAGAAAGAAAGAAAGAAAGAAAGAAAGAAAGAAAGAAAGAAAGAAAGAAAGAAAGAAAGAAAGAAAGAAAGAAAGAAAGAAAGAAAGAAAGAAAGAAAGAAAGAAAGAAAGAAAGAAACCTTTCGGACTTGCCATTGTGCATTTTGGTGAAATCTGTTCCTTTTTTGGAAGGGGGCTTCCTTCCGTGAAGCCCGTTATGATTAAATACAATCAAAATGATGATCTATTTTCTATCATTCATACAATCCATCTGATTGACATGGGGTTGCATTCCCTCTTGTGTTCTAGGACAGTGTTTCCCAAATTTGGGGTCGGGACCCAAAGTGGGGTCCCAAAACACCAAGGTGGGGTCATGAAAATATTTTCTGAATTGATGACATTTTTGCCTTAGTTGTTACAAAGGAGTGAGGTTAGTGTATTTAAAATGGATAAATGTAGTATAAAAATATTGTTACTATGCCCATGTTTTGTTGACCTGATACAAATGTTTATCATCCAAAATTAGCTGGGGGCACAGGTCTCTGCTACTGTTATTTTGTGGGTCAAAAGCTGAAAAGTTTGGGAACCACTGCACTTTGGTTCCCAAAGCTGGGCTTGGGACCCAGTTATGGGTCATGAAGCACCTTGGATAATCTCCAGAAATCAATATAAAGGGTAATAAAATAATTGCTGATGCAATATTTTCCCTATAATTATTACAAAAACACAAAGTAAGTTAAAATAAGTATTTATATTTGTGTACAAGCTGTTTAGATTGTCAAAAAGCCTGTGTTTTTAGGGTTATTAATGGAGTTCGTGTACTCAGACCAGTAATATTTGGGGTCACAAGTTTTTGCCATGAATATTTTGTGGGTCAGAAGATAAAAGGTTTGGGAACCACTGTTCTAGGATATTGGCTTTAGTCATATAATATTTGCAGCTTTCAGACAAACACGAAGTTCCTTGAAGATGATCTTATAGCTTTTACTTTTAACGTGGAGGTCTATAATCTTCTTTCTGAGCTCTTCAGATTTCTCTAATTTTTGCTTTCTCTGCTCCATGTTCAGTGTGGTTCCCACAACCATACCAAACTATCCAGTGGCTGTTTTTTACCCCCTTTAAAAAAACTGGATGGCTGATGAAAAGCTTGATGGCACCACTGATGCAAATTAAGGTCAAACACTGACTATATTGCAAAAATTATTATTCTCTTTACCAACAAGTCTATCCAAACAGTTTTAGCATGTCTTTGTATAATAAACACAATATTTTTTTTACTCTTACACACTAAAGGCATGTGTATACATTAGACAACTCTTTGTAATAGAAACACTTTAAGAAAAATGAAGCATTGTTTCATGAGCTGTTACCACAAATTTATCGGCATCTGTTTTTAAAAAAAAGGCTTGTTTTCCATAATGCAAATTAAATATCTGAATCTGATCATCTCTAAATTATCTGTCACAATGAGCTTACATTCTCATTTATCTTCACAGAATATTTAAAGAGCCACCTCGTGAGTGGAGTGTAGTAGAGTGTAGGACACCAGCAGAGCATGACAGCATTGTGGGATAAGTACGACTGCAAACACTGCTGAGGCTGTAGGAACAGAAAAGCCCGCAGGTCCCCCGGGACGCCCAGGCTCTGTTTCTGGAGTCGAAGCAGCTGACAGGTTACCACAGCAGCTTGAAAACCTCTGGAAGCGTCTGAAACCTAAATCACCTTCAAAAAGTGACAGATCACAGCTGCGTTCTCCGTGCCTCTCTCATCACATCTGCTGGTGCAGACTCCACTTTCCTGAGCTCGCCACATGGAGTTTTCTAAAGGCCAAACACCGGATTGGATTTTTTTTTTCTTTTTTGTAAAAACTCTACATCTAAGTTGGAGAATGTCCAACCAGTTTGACTTTTATTAATTAATTAAGCTCTCATGCATGTAAACAAACTAGTTGAACAAATTGGCCCTCCTTACATGGAAGACAAATAGCTATTGGGCTCCCTCTATTGGCCTTTATGCACCTTTATCTGCATCCTGACCAGGTTCAAAGGGTTAATGCTTTGTCAGAGCCTGGGCTTATTTCAGCTCTGTGTTCAGTTTAGTTTTAGCTCATGCTATTTTAACATTAGAATGGAAATCTATAGGAATTTCTTTTGTGTGTGTCTAAAACGGGGAGGTTTCAAACAGAACAAAATGTAGATTTTGCATTCTGAATTATTTTACTGATCAGTTAGTTCACAAATGTTCAGCTTAAATCCTGCTTTTCTGAAATTTGAACGACCAGTTCAAGACAAATCTGCAGAGGATGAAAGATGCAGCCTTATTGTGAGCTGAGACTGATCACCAAAACATAACCTGTGCACTGTATTGCTCAAGATTTTTGCTTAAAATTAAAATGAATTGATAACTTTTTAGAGGCAACTTTGTTAGCAATTAAACTCCCAGGACATAAATCACTGATAGCAATTTGGAGTTGCGTTAGTGACCAAAACTACTACAACTCTTTTATTCCTCAACATCAGATGATGATCGTATGAAACTCCAGCACATGCACTGGGCGACATGCATTCCTTCAAGGGACGTTTTGCCTTTAATTACATACATGAATGAATAAAACCATGGAAGGTGTCAGGACTGCGGAGTCTAAACTATGCAGAAGAAGCTGCAACCTGTTCATGCAGCCGATGTCTGCCTAACAAAGCAGACACAATCCAGACATCAAAACATTTTTTTCCCCCTTCAGGCGTCTAAATTTGGAATATTAATTTACATTCCTTGAACTGACATTTAAGTATTTTCTAACCTTTTTTTTTTCTTTTTCACCAGGAGTGGGAGAAAAGGGGACTACCCTTTGAGCTTCATTATACTGACTCCAGCTGAAGAAGATGATTAAATGTTGAACAGTTAAGATAATAGACTGTAAAAATATGCAGAGAACAACTTCTTTAATCTTACGACCTCTGATCTGAGCTGCTCTTTGCTCCGCCTGCGTAACGCGAGCGCTGCACTCGGATGATTATTACAGCAGGATCACTTGAACTGACCGCGGCTTCCTGAATTAATTAAAAACACAATCTCCAACAAGTCTCTCTCGCTCATTATTGTTGCCAAAGAGCCCAACATCTGAAACAAATTTGGGTTGTAATAAATTATTCATGGACAAAAACAGCAAAGTCTTATTTGTTCATCAAAAACAAGGGTAAATACTGAAGTGATTTCAGTGTTTCCCCTACCATTATACAAGTTCCTCAGTTGAAAACACTAAAATTATAGAAAAGATGTTTAAAAACTTCTTTCCTCAGAAAGTCTTCAGTCCCAAGAACACTAAACTTTAACTTTTAATAAGTACACAGTTTACTCATATTTAAATGAAAATGTTTGACCTGTAAGCAGAAAGCTTATGGATGTTGTTTTTTTATCTCTATTTCAAAGAAGAGGATGAGGAGGACAACGAGGAAGTAGTAGTCAGTAAACTGCTGAC